CAGAGACCAATCCTGTTGTCATGCCCATATTGGTATAACATCTTATAATTACCACTGCAATTCAGTATGGATTAAGGCAATCTAGTAAATTAGATTTAGAGGATAAAAAAACAGCTTTATAGAATTATCATCTTTCTACAAAAATTAACTTGTACACTACATAAGGATTAATGCTTTTCAATCTCACTTAGAAGTGGGTGACTGTTATTGAAACTTTGCCATGATTGATAATACCCATGGCTGAGCTCTGATAAGGTTCTCCCAATTAATAAATACTCTACTTATTAAAGGCATGATTATTGAAGGACAAGTTACTGAGGAGGAAAACTGTGTAAATTCTGATGATATATTGAAGCATTGTCAGTACACAAACAGCTTCATGTCAATCTCATTTCAACTATTCCAATAATATACAAATGATTAACAAAGGAATTTTACATTAAAAATCGGTTTTAGCAACCACTTCTTTGCATCTACCCTGTGATGGACTAACAAGGTAAAGTGAAATTTATTCAAAGAGAAAACACTTCTATGAACATCTTGTGCTTAAATTAATTTTATATTAACCTTTAACTCCACCATAGTTCTCATTATGTAAACAGGCTACCAAACCTGACACTTAATTAAAAGCAAATGTGATCTCCCTTTTCAAGTTTTTTTTATATACAAGGTCATGGTTTGAACAACTCTGACACACATTCTGGCTCAGTCATTTAAGGCCCCTTTTTTTTTTTGCCTCAAGGAAACAATTCTTGTTACCTTATAAGGCACAAATTTGTTGTGAAGATGAGCAAAGGCAAAATTCCAGAAAGTTACTGATCAAAATATTCCACACTTTGACAGGTTTTTGGGATGGAATGTTTAATGTGCAAGAACAAAATTTTCTGTTTTTTTTCTCACTTTAAGCTTTATGAAGTTGTAACACACATGAAAGCAAAACAATAAAATTAGCTCTCTTGAGTACTATACTCTATCATGCTCAGAGCACTGCAAAACTGATAACATTTAGTTTTTGTGATTACAAGTGTCATACTTCAGTTTGGAAAAGAATTTTCAAAGGCTTCATTAACATGTAAATAAGGATGATCAACATTACACATGAGTGTAGGAGATTGAAAAACAACTCAGTCCTTCATAATAATTCAACTCAAAGACCTTCTGATTCTGTAATTGGATGCTCTACCATTGAGCTTGAAGGATGGTGTGTATGACCACTACTAGATTCACATGTGACAAGCATCCTGCATACTGCTAAGTTGGCAGCAATGTAAAAGAGTTGCACATGAAAAGAAATAACTACTCCAACAAAACTGGCCGTCTTTTACAGACACTTTCAGACCTCTTTAAAGACTACATCAACCATTATCTTCACCCTCGATGTGAATACGTATATCATGTTCAGGAAGAGAAGGATAAGTGCGGTTGATTTATATTAACCCCACACATGTGATAACAAGAAACTGATACACCTGATTAAACCTACAAGGGATATAACTATTCTAAACTATAATTTTGTGTCAAATTTTATCAAATGTGGCAACATTTCTCAAGGAAAAGTTGCAGATATTATCATCTATTCTCAATGAAGAGGTGGATAATAATTCAGCAGAGATGGACAAATCAGTAAAACTTTAAGTCTAGGAATGGGACTGATGTAATTCTTTACTGGGTAAGACAAAATGTTTAGGCTACAAATGCACTCTCTCGTTCTCTGAGCAGCTAACTCCGCAGCAAATTAGATGCAAAGCCGCTCTACCACTGTGTCAATTAGATTAACACTTTTTCGTTGTCTACTGTGGAGCTTCTCAATTATTAGCTAATATGCATCATTACTTTAATTTTCACCTTTCTTGTTGCGTCTGCTTCAGCCATTGCCAACTGCACACCTCCTTGACTATCTGCAGAAACGACACCAACTTTGTTTCTCCTGTGTTTTTCCATTAAGCTGCTCTGTGGTTTAGTCGCCACGGATTAACAAACATGTAAAAAAAGATTAATTAGATATAAACTTCCTTCTGTCCTCTGCGGTAAACCAGTGATATCGCGTATGCGACCACAATTAGTGTTCGATTGTTCACTTCTCCACTTCAATTTAAACGTAACCCTAACGTGATTCTTGATAATTAAAGTAAACGCGCACAGACTTACACTAAAATGTAGTTCACATGATCTTTTAAGCCCGCTATTGACTTTCTCTGTCATAAGAGCTGCCATGCTCCTTCAATTCATTCATCAGATGACAAAACATTCTCTATCTTCTCATTATATTAAAATTAAATGAATTCCTCCACCACTAAAAGGTTTCACAGATGCATTTTCCATCACAAAAGAAAATTGATCTTCCCTTCCAAGTCTTCTTTCATTAAGAAATCATACGCTAGACCATATTCAATAGCAAGTGTTCAAACAATTTCGTTCTCCTTTCGCTTGCAGTGGCAGTAGATGAAAAGTAATTTACTTTCATTGGTTAAAAATTAATGTGTCTGGACTCTCCTGATCAGTTTACATGCCGTCAGTACACAAACAACCCTGAGGAGTCTAATACGTAATAAAAACAAAGTACAAAAGCCCAACTTTCTAGATGTGTCATCGACGCTGACTTTTACACTTCCCGGGATTTCAGGGTCACTGGGAGATTGTCTCTTAGGGTCCTCCCGGACCAGAAAGGCCCCTGAGAGGAAGGGGAATTAGCCCATCCGATTTTAGAGCTTTTATGTTCCCTAAGAGTTATTGTATTTAGCGGAGGACGTGCAATTCAGGATTGATAACACGCGTATTTTCAAAGTTTTTACTATTTGCATGAGATCATATACTCTTGCTATTTGAATTTCTGTGAACTTCGAAGGCGCATAATTACGTTAATTTACTTGTTTGTTATGTGCCGGGTAGGAGACTTAATTTAAGTTTTCTTTTGCATCTTCTCTTTGCATGAACCATTTCCAAGCTTCTATGCCATAAAAATCAAAGTTTCATGCTGAAAAATGACGATATCAGCAATTTATTTATAATAATAATAATAATAATAAT